ATTACCTATCACTTCTGTCTCTCCTAAAATAGGACTCCACTGAGGTAGAGATTCCCCCCCTCCTTGTTTATACACTGATGTGTTGGGCCATAGTAGGTGCTCAGTAAATATTGTCCAGTGCTTGCCTGATTCAATGGCCATCACCTGACTATTTGCTAGTGACTGGAGGGTACAGACAGAAATATGTCAGAGGGCACCTGTGCCCCACCTGGCAGGACAGTCAACACTTGGAGTAGGGGAACACCTACTGCCTAGTCTGTAGGGGGTCCAGGTATTACCCACGAGGGTGACTAAGATGCGTAGGAAGCATCAGACTGCCTTCTGAGGGTTCCGCTTTGCAATGGCCCCATGACGTTGAGGTGAAAGACAAGTTAAGTGAACTCAAAGACACATGGTAAGAAGAAAGGCCATGGTTGAAAATGGTTAGACAGGAGGGTGGGGAGGGATAAGTCATGGAAGCAGAAGTAGGGTGTTCAAAGTGGGGGGCCCCAAAATGGGAAAGTGGCTTCATGCCCGGTACACTGAATAATCGCTTCTTTCCATTAACTTCCTGGCTCTGCCCCCAAACTCACTGGGGAGTGTCAAGACTGCAGCCTGGGTTCCCATCAAGTTCACCTGTCACCATGAGGATGCTGGTTTGTGCCTTGCTTATCTGCCCCTCCTCGCCCTCAGCCAGGAGAGCCCCTGTGCCCACAGAACTGGTACCAGGCAGCCACCCATCCTGTGCCCGTTGCCTGCCCTGCTGGTCAGACCGACCCCAAATGAGCCAATGCCCAGGCTGGCCAGAGACCCATGACCCCTGTGACTTGGCTCAAAGAATGAGTGGGGCCAACCTGGGCCTCTCGGGAACGGGCACTGAGGTGCCTTCCGCTTCTGCAGGGCAGAGAGAGGTGTGTGCCCACAGCAGGTGGGGCCATGTGGAAGGGGCCCCGGAAGGTCTCAGATGAGGTCCTGGAGCAGCCTCCAGAGCCTCCTTTGCTTCTTCTGGCTCCTGCTTCTCAAAGCTCAGCCCTAGTTCCTGGATTTCGTCTCAATTCTGAATACATCCTGCAATTCCTGCTTCTCCCCGAGAGCAGCACTATTGGAGAGGAGCTGGGAGGCCTCCCAGCTCCCAGCAAGGGGTGAAAATGGCCCTTGCAAAGGAATGTCAGCCCAGACCTTCAGGAGAGCCCAAGGCGGCCACCTCCCCACGCCCATCCTCACTCCACCTGGGTCCAGCAGGCTCCCCACAAAGCTATTCTGGGTTATGACTGCGGGACCAGTTTAACCTTTACAAGCATCTGGTTTTGTGCTTTGCTGGAGCCACATGAAGAAAAAAAGGAAATTCTTTCCAAGTGGATGGTGAACATACAACCCCCCGGGGGTGTCACAGTATGGGAATAGAAACAGGGAGAGCAGGCCACTGAGGAATCGGCTCCGACAGGTCATCAGGGGAGGCAACCGAGGCCCCAGACCTTTCCCCAGGACCTGTCAGCACCTGGAGCAGGCGGGACGAGGGGCTGCTGGAGGTGGCAGGCGGGGCTTGGCGAGCCGGGGAGCAGCTATTCCTGCAGATTCCCCGGGCAGAGCAGCCCCTGGCTGGCGGCACAGACTTTACTCCCTTGCAAAGCGGTGGAACCAGCTGGGCTGAGGGTCTCAAAGAAGGTGAGGCTGAGTCAGCCATGAGGCGGGCAGTGACACCGTGTCCCTGCAGTGGCAACTCTAGATCCAGGCCTTCACGAACATCCCTCCAGCCTTGGGCAGCTCTGGGGGGAGAGCCCCCCTGCTGGAAGCAGATGGGGACGCCCCTAGGGTAACCTTGGGGTGAGCCACTGGTATGGCCAAAGGTGTCAGGGCTGAGTCTGAGCAGAGTCTGGGGATGATGGGGCGTGGGAGGTGGGTGGGCTGAGGGCCTCTGCAGCCTGAAGCCTCGACACTAGTGGCCTTATCACGTCCTTTTGAGGAAGACGTGGCCTTGCAGGAAGATGTGGGCGTGTGTTGGGGCATCTGGGATGGTCCTGCAGGAGGGTGACTACACACATCTGCAGCTAGAGACAGACGCTGGGGAGCCGTTGATGGACAAGTGGTCACTGAATGATGTGGCGTGGATGAGACAGTGTGGCAAGCTGAGAGGAACCAAACCCTGCGGGGCATTTAAGGGCAGAGAGAGGAGCCTGACAGGAGAGACAGTGTGGCTAGGGGACCAGAAGATCCCAGGGGTGGGGCCCAGCAGGGAGAGGCCAGGGCGGCAGCCAGTGTGGCCGAGGCAGGGACCGAGGGGGGACATCAGGGAAATGAAAGGTCCCAGGTGACTTGCAAAAGCAGCTCTGGGGGATGCTGGGGCCAGAGGTCCAGAAAGAGTGTGGGAAGCAATGAGATGGGTGGCCGGAGCCCAGCTGAGAGGGAGGGTGTGTGGCCGGGAGTGTGGCGGACACTGCAGACCTCCGGAGGCTGCTTCTGGCCGCCGAGGCTCATCCACCTCCCACTCACAGTCCCACTGGCCCCGCCCTGCCCGTGAATGGGTTTGCAGGGTCTTCCTCACTACCCCCACTGCCTCCATATTTCATAGGTGCCCCTGGGAACTGCAATCCCGCTTTTAATCTGCCCCTCAGGGACAGCCTCTCTGGTCAGATACGTGGCCTGCTCTTGGGGCCCCCCAGGACCAGGAGATGTGTGTGAATGCACTCCATCCGGGTGTCTCCAAATCACTTGCGAGCGGCTCCCTCTTTTAGAGGCCACTGCTGGCCCTCCATTCCTCTCAGTCACTCTGTGACCCTTTGTCACACCCTGAGACCAAGTCAGCAGCTCAGTGCTTTATTGATGACGAGAACCTGGTCCCCGGATGCCCCCACTGGGACCTCTCGGGGCCAACAGCCCCCCCTACCTCCTGAAGGCCCAGTACTCAGTGTGGGGGTCCAGGAGGAGGCAGTTGTGTGCAGAGGGCCCCTGTGTTCAGGTCACAGGGGCTGAGGCTTGGACATCAGACACATTCTGCCAGTCATGCACGGTGCCTAGAGAAAGAACTGGGCCGGCAGCCAACCACCCCCCTCCATGCCCACTCTCTAGGGCGGGACGGAGCTCCTTCAGCCCTCCTGTAGAAGGCTCCATCCACGCTGCTCCCTTGCCCCCACTGTTTACCTGTGGGCTTTGCTGCCCTGGCTGTGGGAGCCAGTATCCGCCCCTCAGAAACCCTCTCCAGACCAAGCCGGCTGCTGAGCCCCCGCCCGAGGCCAATGTTTAATCCTCTGGCACTGGTGTGCACCCCCTCACACAAAGCTGACTTGACCAAATGGCCCCCCACCTTTGTGGGAAGACAGGACGGTCCCCTGGGACCCCAGTGGTAGGACAGTCAATGTACTGCAAAGTGGGGCCCTCTTGGGGTGTACATGCTTCGTGCACCTGCCTTCAGTGGCCCTTCTTGTGCCCTGGGGAGGTGGGGGAGGGCGCCAAGCCTAAAGCCCAGACTTGCTCTGGGCCCATGGGGTGAGTGCTCCTCGCAAGCCCCCACAGTGACTGCCTTTTGGGGCTGGGGTGAAAGATCTGAAACTGCAGTGGCCTTTCAAGCAGACAGACTGCCTCCGAGTACGGGGTGAAAACGTGGTCCATGCTGGCCCCAGCAGCTGGCTCTACCGGCCTCAGCACACCCCGCTCCAGCCACCTCAGGGTGCTGTCTCTCGGGCTCTCCTACTCGGCCACCGCTCCCAGGCCAGCAGGATGTGTGTGACAGGGATTACCCAGCTGAGCTTCTGAAGCCTCCACTGCCGGCTCTCGGGAATGTCACTGGCGTGGACGTTTTTCTCAGATAACAAGTCAGGTTCCCGGGGACAGGTTCTCTCACTCACCTAGTGAGAGCCCACTGGGCTGTGTGGGCTCTCACCATTTCCCGATGGCCGCCTTCCTCCCCGAGGCCCTCAGTGCCTCACAGATATATCTGGGCAGACTGACAAAGCAGACTTGTGCTTATGGGCCCATCAGGTTCCCAAGATTAATCATGTCAGTTTCGGAAGCCAATAAAACTTCCAAGTCCATGGTCATACTGAAAATCCCAAAGGACAGCAGCTATGAGTCAAGGAGACAGTTAGATTGAAGGTGGACGGAGACCCAATCTAGCCTGTTGTGGACGGTTAGTGCCAGGCGGATTTTAGGAGGAAAAAAACCAAAGTCTTTTAAGGGTTATAGACTAGAGGGACAGCCTGCGTGGTTTGCACAAAATAGAAGTACTCTTCCCAATAAATACGTCTCAAAATGACAAAGCTCTCCCCAGCGGACGGCTCTGGGTCCCAGCGAGAAGTGACGGGTACAGGCACAGGAGCTATGTACAGTGTAAACAGTAAGGCCCCGGGGAGCTGAGGGGCAGGGCTGGGTGACGCTGTGCGTGGAGGAACCGTGTGGGACCGAGAGGTCCCTGGGTAAATGCAACAGGCTGGCAGGGTGGCCATCCAGTCTGCCACCAAAGCTGTGGGTGGCCGTGGCAGGTCCCCTTGGTTCCTCCGGTCGGGAGAAATTGTGTCCCTTGAGAAACCCTGGCCCCGCCGACTTTTTCCCTAGGAGAGGCATGGGGACAGCCAGGCAAGGCCTCTCCCCAGCAGGAGGGCAGGTTGCAGACCCAGGCAGGGTTCAGGTGGTGCATGGGTAGTGCTTCTCAGGGCCTGAGCAGATGGTGCCAGGAGCCCGGCGGCCCCTCCCTCCCCAAGGAGGACTCCGGGGCAGCTGTGTCCAGGGCCCTGGTGGCCCCTCCCTCCCCAAGGAGGACTTGGGGGCAGCTGTGTCCAGGGCCCTGGCGGCCCCTCCCTCCCCAAGGAGGACTCCGGGGCAGCTGTGTCCAGGAGGGCCCGTGACTTTCCATCCTCCAAGGCCCTACCTGCCCCTCTGGCAGAGAGGCCACAGAGCAGTGCCTAGGTCAGTCTCGCGGTGGCCGATGGGGGTGGGCTCCTGCCCCACACACCCCACGTCTGGTCCTCAGCCCCACTCTCTGCCCGCCCCCTGCGGACTCCCTAGTTTAGAGGTTGGGGGGGGTACCCTTAAATATCAGTTTCTCTGAGGTTGCCATAGTCGGCCAAGTCATAGGCCTGGCAGGCGGCGCCCTCCGCCAAGTCGTGTGGGACGCTCAGGGACACAGCCTCCACCTCCACCTCGGGGCGCAGGCCACACGCGGCCTCTGCGCGGGGCGCGCTGCCGGAGCGGATCTTGTGCGACAGGCTGGAGACCTTGGCGCGGAGCTGGGTGGTGGGTCTCCGGAGCGGCCCCAGCAGCCGCCACTCTCGGAAGGCGCAGGCTGGCTTTCGACGGGCGGGGACCGGCGCCTGCACCTCTGAGGAGCCGGGGGTCGAGGGTTCCACGAGAGCCAGCGGGGCCCCCGGGGGCAAGGTGCCGGCGCCGCCTAGGGCGCAGTCGGGGTGGCCGCCGGTCGAGGCTCGCCAGTGGTGGCCATAGACGCGCCAGAGGGGGCGGCAGCGGCGACGCCGGTGGCACTGGCAGCGCAGGAGGCGGAGGAAGGCGCGCTTGAACTCGCGGCTGGAGCAGGGGTAGATGAGCGGGTTCACGCAGCTGTTGAAGTAGCCCAGCCAGAAGATGACCTTGAAGACGCCGTCGGAAGGCTTCAGCTGGGGGAACAGGGAGCCTGTGGGCAGCAGACACTGGAGCTGGTTAGAGGATCCGCAGAAGGAGCCAGTGGGTGCCAGGAGGTGGGTGACCCACAGCAGCCCAGCAGCCTCAGGGAGTCAGCAATGGGGGGGGGCTCTCAGGGGGCCTGCCCCAACGGGCGTCTGATATGAATCAGGGGGCCCATGAACTTGGATGGGGAAAAAGAATCATTTTCAGTTTGCCACATCTACCTGAAACTGAGCATCTTTTCCAATGATGGGTGTAGAGAGAAGAATTAGACATGGTGAAATGAAAGCACCATTTTGATAGTAAAAACTGGCACAGCATCGCCAGTTTCAAGGGTTCAACCTAATGTCAACAGTTCCCGAAGATACTTTCCTGTCACATCCCGCTGAGGCAGATCCTGTGAAACAGTGCCTAGGCTGCTCGCTATTTGGCATCAGCAACCATTAGCAGGCACCGCTAGATCTTGCTATTTAATGTGTTAATGTGTCAAATCCCAAATTTCGTTTAAAAATCTCTTGACAAGTTTCCACTTGTCAAAGACCGGTTTCATGGACAATCCCCGGCATTTTATTTTATGCATGGGAAAGCATGACTTTGAGAAGGTTTCCCAGGCTTCTCCAGATGCCAAAGGGTGCTTCTCCAGGTCCCTAGCACCCAAAGGGTAGGATCCTGAATTAGATGTTGCCTTGCACCAAGCCTGTCACCTGGGCTCACAGCAAAGGTGACCTCCCCGACCACCCCAGCAAGATGGATCGAATACAATGGGGCGTGGGAGGGGGCGGGGTGGGGGGTGTTGCTCCGTATGCGCTTGGGGAGGGGTCTCAGACTCAGCCTATGGCCTCCAGGAACTGAGAGGGGCCAGCTGGGGTGAGGCCAGGCACAGTGTTAGGAATGGAAGGGCCAGAGGCTGTAAACAGGGGCCGTGTAGCTTGCGCTCAGCAAAGCTCATGTGGGGCAGATGGGGGGGGTTGGCTTTTATTTTGTGGCTAGCTGGGAGCCATGGTGGTCTAGCAGCAGGCAAGAGAGAGAAGGCCTTAGTAAACACCGTGCCCATAGGCTGTGGGGATGCGGGGCAGTGGGCTGTTCCAGTGAGGTGGGGGAAGGGCACCTGCTTCTGAGCTGTGCCAGGCAGCCCTCCTCCCACAAACTTCTCCCCAGTATCCCCACCATGGGCCCAAAGGTGTCATGTCTGCTGGCAAAGCACAGAGGCCTGTCCAGGAAGCAGAGGCCCCCTCTGAGCCTCAGCGGCAGTGGGAGCAGCAGCGGGCGGAGGGCAGGGCTGTCCTCTCTGTGCAGAGGCTGCAGGTGCCTGCAGGCTGCGCAGTTCAGGGCCAAAGGGCCTGGACAAATCTTGGGGTTTCTCTTCCCCGTCCCAAGGAAATAAGAGCAGAGTTCCTGTTGAGGGCCAGCGCTGCTGTGCCCGGTTCTTTGATCTGGGATCCTTGTACATCAACCCCCCACCCCTGGCATAGAGAATCTCTGGCCCCAAGGGAAACCATGGAGGGAGAGGAGGGTCACACAGCATCTCATGGTACAGGCCGGACCTTTCAGACCTTCACGACCGCAAGCACATTCCGGCCATCGAGTATCCCTTTCTTTTTCTGTGAAGTGCAGGCAGTGTATTCTCTGAAAAGATTTTGTGACGAGGCATAAGTTTCAGGGCCCAGCTTGTAGGCTCTTAATAAATACTGTGTCTCTTCATCCCCTCCCTAAACATTTGTGCAGCTTTGAGCGAGACCTCAGCTCTGGGAGCGGCGGGGTTTCCCCCTCCCCAAAGGGACCAGAAACAGAAGTGGGATCTGGTGGACTCGGGCGGGGTATGCTGAGGAGCGGACCTCCTCTGGGACAGGAGTTGGGCAGTTGTTCCTGGAATGTGGGGGTCACCGGGGTGGACCTCAGACTCCAGGAAGGCGGCCCTCCACACAGCATCCCTCAACGACTGCAAAGCAAGACAGAATATGCTGAAAATAACTTTCCGACTCAGGCCAATTCTTTTATATTTAGTCCAGAATGACAAATCTGCGGGCAATGCTTTCGGCGGCGAGCCTGAAGCCGGCCAAAGGGCACCGCTATCAGCAGAGTTTTACCCAGAGGGGTGGGGGCCTGGGCGTACTGTAGCCCAGCCTGGGCCTTGTCGGTGTCAGCATCCTCACTTCTGCCCGGCAACCTGTGCGGAAGCCGCTGCCAGCCGGGAGGTCCTTACACACCAAGGCTGGACTCAGACCCAGCCTGCCAGCCCCACACGTTCCCGCGTGTCCCCTGAGGGTCTCAGACCCCTTCCCGCGTGTCCCCTGAGGGTCTCAGACCC